TCTGTATATCTATAAAAATTCTTTGTTCTTTGAAAGAATGACAGACATTTCAGGGGAAGACTACCTCTAATTTTAAGAATGACTGAATGTGGTTCAACAAAAAACACCAGGCCAGGTAGGCTGGGTTGCTGCCCACAGTTGACTGACTGTTGGCAAGGAAGACAGAAGTCTACCCTGGGTCTTCCTCACAGATTACTCCAATCCAGTTACAAGGCATGAGTGTGTACCCCAAAATAAAATAGCTATAGGGATAGCTATTAATATGATATTTTGTCAAATGCTGCTGACTTCATAATACTTCAGCTTGAAGTCTGCAAAGCAGGTGAGAGTTATACTTTCATTGACTTTTCCCTTTTCTGATTAGATCATTTCACACATAATTCACACATGAATAATGAGACAAGATCTTTAAAAATAAAGAACAGTAAAATATCTTTTTCTTAAGCCACAATACTAGATTGCTGTTTCATTGGTACTAAATTTAGAAAGGAATTAGGCTGTGCTACTGTCTTAGTCATCTAGTGCTATTATAACAGAAATACCTCAAGTGGATGGCTTTAACAAACAGAAATTTATTGTCTCACAGTCTAGTAGGCTAGAAATCCAAATTCAGGGTGTAAGCTCCAGGGGAAGGCTTTCTCTCTCTGTTAGCTCTGGAGGAAGGTCCTTCTCATCAATCTTCCCCTGGACTAGGAGCTTCTCCGCACAGGAACCCCGAGTCCAAAGGATGTGCTCTGCTCCCAGCACTGCTTTCTTGGTGGTAGTAGGTCCCCAATCTCAGCTTGCTTCCCTTTCCTTTTATCTCGTGTAAGATAAAAGGTGGTACAGGACACACCCTAGGGAAACTTTGTTTACATTGGGTCAGGGATGTGACCTGAACAAGGGTGTTACATCCCACCCTAATCCTCTTTAACCACAGGCAGAGATTATGATTTATAACACATATGAAAATCACAAAATGGAGGACAACCACACAGTACTGGAAATCATGGCCTAACCAAGTTGACACATATTTTGGGGGAACACAGTTCAATCCGTGACAGCTACTAACTCATTACATAATCTTGGATAAGTCACTTTGCCTCTTGAAGCCTTATTTGTCTTATAAAATAAAGGTACTGATCCTAGGTGAGATGGTCTCTAAGATCACTTCCGATTTGAACAGTTTGTGACTTTTCTGCCCCTGCTGGTCATTACAGAGGTGTGTGCAATGCCTGCGTCCTTAGGAGCTTTTTCTTTTTTTAAGGCTAGTAGCAAGCATTATTATTGCAACTCTGAGTAGAGCAACAAGGACGTACTTCCCAAATGCTTCTAAGCAAATGAAATAACATACATTTAAAATACCGTGAGATGATCCTTTATGTTCCAAAGAAAAATACTTGAGAACTTTATAATTCCCTAATTATGAAACTACCACTATAGCATGTAAGTATCCACATTCACCAGTCTAACAAAGCTTCTAGTTGCCTGGTTTAAAATGATCACTTCTTGAACCTTTCGACTTGGTCTTCCTTTTTATCATCAGCATTAGCAGTTGGTGTTCTTTTGGGAGGTGTTTTTTCCCCAAAATAAGTAAGTTATCGTTTGACAAGAGTTACTATATACACAACAAAAGAAGGGAGCAATGAAGTCACTTTGAGATACTGATGCTGTTTGGTGAGCTAGACGCCATCACCAGGCTGGCGATTCCCTGCAGCACGGAGCAGCCTGGAAAGCACGCCTCAGATTTGTGCCTTTGTAGAAACTGCCTGTAGAGTATTTTTGACGTCTGTATTCCCTCGCTCTGGATGGACCGATGCTTCTGAATAATAGAGGAGAGATAAGAAGCCCCTGAGTGTCAGTCAGCTGCCTATGTTGTGATCCCAAGTTGACTTACAGGTGGCCCTGAGACAATTAGCTTTGTCTTTCCCAGTCCCGGGTTCCAACCTCCTTTCAGGAATGATGCAAGTGGGAGACAAGATGAATATGCAACTCCATGGTATTTTACCAAAGTCAGCGGGAGAAACAACACATTTGAGCAAACTTTCTAACATTTACTCAATTTAACTCTTTTATACCTAGTTCTTTGTAGCACAAAATGCTCCCTGATGTTTTTGCAAGATGGCTTTCCACCTCTAATTGCTATTTGCTTTACTTGCATGTACTTTTGTTACCTGTCCTGCAGCAGGCTCTGAGCTTTCTCACAGTCTGTTTTCTCTGTCCAGAGTATTTCCTCCCACCCACGATTTCCTGTTGAGATCTACCCTCTTCCAAGACTCATCATCCACCTTGAAACCTTAGAGTCATCCCTGACACCTTCCTCGCCCTCTCTAACATCCAGGTCCCTCTGTCTGCTAAATAGCTCTTTAATCTGCCTCCTTCTCACTACCCACTTTCACTTCTGCAATTACATAACCTTGGGCAAGTCACTGGGGTAAGGCCTTTATCATTTCTTTCCTGGAATCTTGCAGTCACTGTCTTCGGGCCTTCTTGAGTCTTTTCTCCGTAGCCACCAGATTAAATCACTATCTGACCATGTTGCTATGGTGGGAGATCCTCAGTGGCCTCCAAACACCTTCAGGATTAAGCTTCAGCCTCTTAGCTTAGCAGAAAAGCACGCTTGGTCTTGAGATCCCTGAGTGCTTCTCCAGCCTCATTTTTACATCCTGTGCCCCATTTTGGTTTCAGCCATGCTGAACAACCTATGTAGTTCCATACATTCACAACTCTGAGCCTTTGCATGTGCCCTTCCACCCTCAGGACCTATCTAAAAGCTACTTGCCTTGCACTTATCTTGATGTTGCTTCATCCAGGAAGTCTTCCCTGGTCACTACCCACTGGCAGCCCCAGATGCCCCTCCCGTATTCACTCACAGCATCCTTCCTAGAATGGGTTGTGTTAGAATGGGTTGTGAATATATTTGTTTCCCGGAAGACAGAATCTAGCTAGCCTTTGCTTTCCTATTCTTGTTCTGGTGCTCAAATATTTTGAATAGGGAGCCTTAGTTTGAATTTTATGCCACTGAAAGCCTTCTGTCTAAGACGACATTTCTAGTGAGGTATAATTCTCCTTCAGACTGTTTCTAACCTCAGGAGGGAATGTTTCCTATAATCAACAGTTTCCTTCTCCCATCCCTTTCCTATTCATTCATTTATAAAGTTTATCACAATAATCCCTAGAAATAATTTAGTACAATGCAGGAGATTTGGCAGGCACTATATGATTTGGACCCTGCCAAGCTAGGAGGGCTTAAGGTGGCTATTAAAGATTTTATAAATGCCATTTACACCAGAGAAACAGCAGCAGTATTTATCATTAGCTTTCTTGGCTGTAAACGTTCTCAGCCAAGCTGAAACTGATTACATTGGCCATGCCGGAAAGGTAATTTATTCATCAAACACACAATCTCCTGTTAAGTAAAATCAGAATTTTAAGTGCTGACTAAAAGGAGAACTGATATATCAGTGCACAGTTACCCTCTATACCAAAAATGTGACTCTTAAGAGTACTTTTTAATTGTTTTGTTCCTAAAGCTAACGATTGTTTGCTTTTGCAGATGTCTAGTAATTAACTTCTTCATGGAACATTAGCCTATATTTTTTGCCTTTACCACTCTCATTCTAATTCATATTTTGCATAGCTGGGGGCATTCTCTCTGTTTAAAGTGTTCCTAGATTTCTGCTTGGCTTTTATTAAAAATACCTTATGAAGCAAGTACTCATCTGAATCCCTCCCATTGGGAGGCTGTTGATTTCTTCTGAAGAAAACCAAGAACTCTGGAGAGTCTTCACGTTTCTCTAATTTATAGATGCATTTCCCCAGTTTAAAATGGCACTTACTCTTCCCCAACCTCAGTGATCACCACTTATCATCTTGGTCTACCCAAAACCCAAGACTCTAGACTTTCTGCCCCTGTGGTTGTTGACAACTTACAATGAATGCCAGGCTGAGAGGATTTCTCCTCTTCCTAGATTTCTTCACGGACATCTCCCCTTGGGGCTGAGCAGACACCAGTGTGCTTCCCAACCCAACATTTAATCCTCTGACTGCTTTCTCTTCTGGCCCACTTGCAAAATAATTACTTGAAAGAGGGTTGATTTTGCCCTTTCCATACCTATGTCGTGTGTGTGTGTGTGTGTGTGTGTGTGTGTGTGTGTGTGTGTGTGTGGTGATGGTGGTACGGGGAGGGGGAAATGCATGTGCTTTGAATACATACTGCAGTTCTAAGTTTTCTTGATGTGCTAATAGTACAATTCAGAAACTAAAGGTCAGGGGATCCACGAAAGGCTAAGAATAGGTTAGGTATGCATGTGAAAATGGAATGTGGCTGCATTTAAATGTTGACGCAAATGCAAGTTGAAGGAACTAGACCTTTGAGTGGTATTCTCTCTCTCACTGTTTCCATTTTTGTCCTCACCCCTTCCTCTTTTCCACCTCCCTAACCCCACCCACTTTCTTTGGGGAAAGTAAGTGTGGTACTTCTTAGACTTGCTGATCCATATACATCTCAAAGGACCCAGTGAAGTCTACACCAATGAGGTGCAGGTTTTCCAATAGCTCCAGCCCTAGCATCTCTGTGCATACTCTTTCAAGAAGAAAGCCCACCAGTGGGACCCTCCAGGTGATGGGGTGTGCCACTCCTGTTCATCAAACTCTTGTTTTTTGTTTTCTCACTGTAGCCTCAGTACTAGTAGCTTTATCAGTTCTTCTTCATCCCAGAATTTGAGGAGTGAAGAAATCTGATTTCTTGAGGAAATCTTTGAAGGGGAAAAAGTTTCCAGTGGGCTGATAGATGACTCTTGTTCATTACATGGGTATGTAGGAAGCAATCTTTCAGTTTTACACACTGACCATAGATGTGACCATCTATTTGGCCTGGAAGGAATCCTGGTCCTTGTGTCTTGGAGGAAGATCTGTTTGTCTTCTCTTTGAATATCTCCTTGTCCTTAAAAGACAAGAATTCTCTATGAATTTGTCTTACCTCCTCTGTCAGTGGTGGCTGACTCTCCTTTTTTTCTCAGGGAGGAAGATGAATACTCAGAACTGCGGTCGGAGCTCAGCCAGAGCCAACACGAGGTCAATGAGGACTCTCGAAGCATGGACCAAGACCAGACCTCTGTCTCCATCCCCGAAAACCAGTCCACCATGGTCACTGCTGACATGGGTGAGTCTGCCTTCGATTACCACTAAGCCAGAGTTTGGCCTCTGGATTGTAACAAGAATTTTAGAAATGTGAGGCAGCCTGAATTAAAATGAATAATTCGAAGAGTCTGCTGAGTGGATGAAAGCACATCATTGCAGTCCCTGGGATACTAGTTTGTTGGTCAAAGTGGAACTGGAGAGTTAAATTAGACTTCTGCCCTGATATGCTTGTGATTTCAAGCATACATCACCTCTACTTGATAATTCTGGAAGCAGGGAACTAGTTCATAAGTTATTGCAGCAAGCATTCCAAGTTAGAGTAAAATCTGAACTCAAATGGTGAGAATGGAAAAGATGGGAAGGATGGCAACACATTGCAGTGAAAGAACCAATTGGTTTTTAGCAACTGTTGGGTAAGAAAGAGGAGTCCAAAATGATTCTAATATGTTGATCCTGAATGACTAAGAGATTGCTCATACTCCTTAGTAAGGGGGCTTGATTGAGAAATGAATTGAGAAATAGACATACTATGTTTGAGACTGAGGGGAAATGTCCATGTGGAAATATCTAGTACAGTGCGTTTTAAACTGCAGATCATGACCCATCAGTGGATCTTGAAATTATATGAAAAATAAAAAATAAATAGGACAGGAAAAACAGAGTGACAGTTTTGTTTCATGGAACTTATTAGTTGTGTGTATGTGTACTAGGTTGCCAAGTAAAATGTTGTTCTGTGAGTTGCAGTCAAAATGTTACAAAACCACCAGTCTAGTTGGAAATACCTACTTGGATCTTTGGAGAGAGATTGGGGTTGGGGATACAGGCTTTGAAGTCTTCTGAACTAAAGAGATCTCTATGGTTGTAAAGGAGAGGAGTCAAAAGGAGGAGCAACACCATATCTTAGGAAATGTTCACATGTAGGGGAGAGACAGAAGAAGATGAAAAGTAAGTATAGTGCAGCTTTCATGGAACTTAAAGTTTAGTTGGGGAAAGAGACTGCAGTATTTATGGGAACTCCCACCCCCACACATACACATGCTTCCTCCCTCACCCTCTGTTTCTAATCCTTCAGCAAGTCTTGCCAATTTTACACCTTTTCTGCATCCATCTGCTTTACTACATCTCAACATTAAGGAACATAGTAGCAGGAGAATGTATCAAAGGAACTTGGTTCAGTATGGTTCCAGAAAGGCTTCTTCAAGCGTTGACATTTGAGCTGAGATCCAGAAGAGATGGCATTCAGCCAGGGGTGGGGGTCGAGGGCTTATATGCAGGGTAAATTCACGGAGGAGAGAGAAGTCCATTGTGGCTGGAGGGCAGAGAGATGTGAGACAGAGCCTGAAGAATTAGACAGAGGGCTGATCACACAGGGTCTTGTAGACCTTGTTAGAGACTTTGGCCTTCATCCAAAGACCTACAAAAAGCTACTGAAAGATTTTAAATAGTTGAGGAAGGGAACAAGATGATCAGATTTTCATTTCAAATCAGTCACTCTTTCTATAGTGGGTCAAGCGTGAATGGGGGAGGCCAGCTAGAAAACCATTGCAAAAGTCTAGATGGGCAAAACTGTTGCTAGGATTAGGGTGATGGCCGGTGAGATGTAGAAAAGCAAATGGGTGTAGAAAAGGTGTGAAATTGGCAAGATTTGCTGAAAGCTTGGAAAGAGAGGGTGAGGCAGGAAGTAGGGGTTTGCATAATCGATGGACAATGGGGCCAGTCACCAAAACGGGAGCTTGGCAAAAGGACCAGCTCATTTGCTTTGATTTTTGTTTTGCTTTTTCAAGAGGGGACGGATAGTAGAGATAATGTGTCTTGGTTTAGTCACGTTTGGTCATGAGTTTGAGATGCATGAAGAGATCCAGATGGAGATGCTTAGGAAGCGGTAGGTGTACAGATAAGAAGCCAAGAGGAGAGGTCTGGGCTGAAGAAAAGCAGTTGGGAGACATCAGGATGTTTGTAGCTGGTAGCTGAAGCCATGGATGTTGATCAGTAGAGTGAGAAGTGGAGAGAGCCTGGGACTAAGTGCTGGGGGACAGGAGCCAATAAGGAGACTCACTCAGCAGGAGCTCTTGGTAGGAATGCATCTCTCATCATTTTGGTCTCAGTTTAAATGCACTGCCTCCGAAAGCAAGTTCCTGTGCTGACTCTGTCACTGCCTCATTTTGTTTCTTTATATCACACTGAAATTTTAAATTATGTGTTTATATTTACTTGCTTGACCAACTCTGCCACTAAACTCCATTGGGCAGAAACACGTTTGTTTTATCTACTAGTATATCACCACAGCTTACCACAGTGCCTGGTATGTAGAATGTGTTCCAAAAATACTTGTTGGAATAAAAAAAGAATCAATCAACCAATCAATCAGCCAAAGATGTAGAAAGAAAATGGGGAGAGTGACGTCCTGGAAGCCAGTGGCGCAGGGAAGGAATAAGGAAGATCATCAGAAGTAGTCGGCAGTATGATCGCTGCTAAGACTAAATAAAGCTGAGGTTCGTGAGAGCTATATTCTGATACCAGCATTAGCCAGGCAGAAGTACATTGAGGAGTGAAGGTGCCTCTGCAAGCTTCAGGCTGAAACTGCCTCCAACCCCCTCCATCAATGGCCCTTGCCCACCTCTTGGCCCTCACCTCTGACCACTCCCCCCCCACTCCCCCACCCCACCCAGTTTACTCAGCTCCGCCCAAACAGTCCTTTCTCAGTGTCCGGATCACCCAGCTCAGCTCTAGAGCCCCCTCTTTAGGGAGGCTGTCTCTAGCCAACTTAGAGGACAGAGTGCTGGCATGCAGTAAGCCTGCACTCAGTGCTTCTCCCAGGCTCTGTGACTCTCACTGTGGCAGGAGTGGGGGAGCTTCTCAGCAGCCAGAGAGAAGAAAAATGTGCTTCTGGCATGCAGATGTGGTCTACAAAGTATTTCCTCATAGAAACAATGTTCACAATGATGCTTGGGTTCTGTAGTAACACTACTAAGGCCCCATACTTCATTTACATTATAGATGAAATAGGTTTTCAGAGGCTCCTCTTAGCAGCTAACATTCCTTTATGATGCTGGTTTTAAGGGAAAATATGTCATGAGTTTCCAACAACCAAAATAACAAACCAACCTTAGGAGACATGCATGGTCTGTTTGGAAAACGAAGACTGTTCATATTAGAAAAGGGATTCATGAATCCCAACAATTATGGGAGCTTATTCTGAATAAACGTTGAAGATCAATGCTTTTCTAATTCCATCTTATACCCCAAGTCTGTTTGGGGGCTGAAAAATTATTGAACAGTAGAATATGAGGGAAATTTTCCAAAGTGACATAAACTGAAGTGGAGCAATAACTTTTAGCTGTCAACCGTGGTTACTGAAGGAGAGTTCTGGAATGATTTTAGGTGGACTGAATGTTAGCACTTGAACTGCGTTAACATTCGCAGATGAGTCTTGTTTGTTCAGGCTCAGCTCTCTGGATGAAAGCACTCAGTCACCTCAGACAATGCTCTAGTAAATCAATTTTCCAAATTTCAAAGCCTTGCCCTGGACCTGGTTCTCGGAGATAACCAACAACATCTCAAACCTCTTGGGAGAAATTAAGTTGCCCAATTAAAGTAAGGAGGAAAAAAAAAAAGGCAACAAAGGGCTTGACTTGTTATATCAGCTAGTTAGGGTGTTATTTTCAGTCCCGTGTAACCTTTCCAACCTGCGGACTGGTTCCTTTAAAGTTCCCGAATCAGGTTACCAATAATCTGATTCTGTTTTTAACATCTTTGCCTACCTAGCCACCTCATTCCTAACAAAAAGTGAATATTCTCCAAATAGGCTGCCTTGCCTTTTTTGCAGGGGGAGGGGGAGGGGAGGGAGAAGTGGAATTGTTATTAAATGAATCTTTATTGAAATATTTTCCTTTGTAGTTCTTAGCTAGCTGAGATTCCTCCACACCACTGTTGATGTCATCTATGATGTCATGAGGGTGGAGCCCATCAGCATTGCAGCCCACAGGTTAGGCTGTCCCCAAAAAACAAAAACCAAGTCCTTTGCCGTGGAGTCGATTCCGATTTATAGTGACCCTGTAAGACAGAGTAAAACTGCTCTATAGGGTTTCCAAGGAGCGGCTGGTGCATTCAAACTGCCAACCTTTTGGTTAGCAGCAGAACTCTTAACTAGTGTGCCACCAGGGCTCCAGGCTGTTCCCAGGATCTCTTTAACGGTTCTAGAGAGCTCTCTGGCTAAAGATGGATGCCGCATCTGTCAAGCAATGTTGACAAGTTAATCAAAAGTGGCATTTCCACTATGTTTAATATTTTTCTGCTTCTTCCTGTCTCGGGGTTCTTTGAGGGCTTTGATGATCAGGGCAGAGGCAGAATATAGTGGGTATTCTTAAATATGGTGAAGGCATGAGGGCCTTCCGTTCTGATTGGTCAGTTTCACCGTAATCCTTAGACCCTTAGTCACTGGGTGCCTTGGCAATGTGCCAAGCCTTTTTGGGAGACAGAGCCAGGGGGCCGATCTTGGGGGCCAGGGCAGATGTGGCACCAAGCGGAAACTCGGAAGCAGGCGCCTTGCCTTTTTTAAACACTCTCCCTAAGTCTACAGAAATTGTTGTTGGAAAAGATAGGGCTCCCTTTCCCTGCCCTGACACCCCTTCCCCAGCCCTGCTTTGAGTGACTATTTCTCTAAACATTTTTTCTGAAGCCATTAAGCCTCATCAGCTGTTAAGCCAGGAAAGTCTGGCTTTAATGTTAACCACATTTCATAGTACGGCTGTGCCAAAAAGCTGGGTTTCATGTGCAAATTCTTCCTTGGTTGTCCTCCAGAAACTACTCATACTGAGGAAATATCTATCTAAATGATAGCACCAGCAACCAGCGTTATCTTATGCTTCATTCAACCCCGAGTGTATAATAGTTTAGTATTGCTAAATTCCAGAAAAATAGTTTCTCACCGAAAACCAGAAGATATCTCAAAATACTAATATAGAGGTCCATCTGATGAGGGATTTTGTTTGTTTTACAAACAATTGCACCAGACAAGTTTTG